TTATCAAAAAAAAAAAAAAAAAAAAAAAAAAAAAAAAACATGAAAAACGGGTGGTGGTGCATTTATTCGACATGCGTGTACCCTAATGATGTTATCGCTTGTACTGCATAAAAGGGAAGCATCAAACTTTAAACGATTGAAGTTAAAAAAAAAACAAAGGTGGGACAAAAACTTTCGCGATCCAATTGCGAGCGAAAGCCTCGGAGCGGTGCAAAAGTAGGTAAAAAACGAAACGCAAAAATACACAGTCAGACAGATACAACGGGAAAAAGGGGTGTGCGTGAGGGGGGGGGGCAATAACGAGGGCAGAATAATCGAAAGAGAGCTGCGCCAGAGTAGAGGAGGGCACGAACAAACTACATCGGAGAGAGGAAAAGAGCGAGGGGGTGGTCGGGCTGGACCGAGCGGAGGGAGTTTACTCCAACCCCTTTCCTCGCGGTCGATCAATGCACGGACGGGTTTCACTTTCGCAGTGTGTTGAAGCGCGTGCTGCACCCGCGAGCAGCCCTCCCTGCTTCACTCTCTCTCTCGCCCTCTGCGTGCGTGTTTTACTCTCGCCCGCCCGACGCCTCTCACTCTCACTCTACCTTATACCCCTGCGCACGCAACCCTCTCCCATCCTCCCTCCCTCCCTCTCGCGGCTCGACAATGGATTTTGGCGACTTACAGATTGGCCTGCTGCTGCCCTTTCCTTTTTTCCGCTATGCGCCCCCGAGGTCGCTGAACCCCTGGCGTTGCGATGGCTGCTGCGTTCATATGCACCCCTACATGCGACGTCCCGAGGTCACTTTCGATCTGCTATTTTCACAACCTCTTCGTGGGATCCTTTGTTTTTTTTTTTTTTTTTTTTTTTTTTTTCATCCCGTTGTTGCTCCATTGATTCTTCCATTAAATCGAGTTATCCCAAAAGTAAAAGTGTGGCCCCTTCCCCGCCCACTTTTCGAACAATTGGTAAAAATACCTCCCACCTGTACTTTCACCGCGCTCGAAATAGGAATCGATTCGAATAATAATCAAAGTCGTACGCATTTCAAGTGAACGAGTAAAAAAAAAAAAAAAAAAAAAACGCTCCTTTCATCTTTCGTCTGACCGTACGCGGATGTTACTACTTGACTGTCCGATCACACAGACCTACATGAAACAACGAGATTGATTGTTTTCTTTTGCTTTTTGGGTGCTTTCAGTGAAAAATGAAGTCGAGCGATTGGGACTACATGAACCTGCGGGAGGAGGAGTTCCAGCAGAAGGTCAATTACATAGCCCCGGACACGCCGGTGTCACCCGGTGAGCCGAATCGCGCCGAGGCGTCGTTGCCGAGGAACTTGGTCCTCAAACCCTCCCAGGAGTGCAACAATGTAAGATACATATTTTTATTTTTTTTTATTTGCTCGTGTAGTATATACATTTAAATTTCACTTGAAATTCATTTGAACGCGTTGCTTGGGTGTGTGCACAGGTGTTTGGAGTTTGGAGCACGGAGCGGATCCCGAAGGGGACTCGTTTCGGACCGCTGGTCGGGCAAATCTACATGAAGGATGCGGTGCCACCGGACACGGACAGAAAGTACTTTTGGAGGGTAAGCCATTAAAAAATGTTTTATTTTTTTTTTTTTTCACTTTTTCAATTGTAAAAATACATCGATAATATAATACATGTATTTATCTATAATAACCGTTATGTATCCGAACGATCGTAGATTTACAAGAACGACGAGCTGTTCTACTACATAGACGGATACGACGTGCAAAAGGCAAACTGGATGAGATACGTCAACCCGGCGTACTCCTCCGAATCGCAGAATCTAATCGCTTGCCAGTACGAGGTACGTACGAATATGTATATATATATTATATTGTCTATTATATTGTCATGCGTATTATTGTATATAGGTGTTGAACCTTTTAACGATTCGTTTTCTTCCTCTTCTCCGCAGATGAACATTTATTTTTACACCGTGAAAGAAATCGATCCTAATCAGGAGCTCTTGGTCTGGTACTGCCGTGAATTTGCCGAGAGGCTGAATCACCCGATGACCGGCGAACAGATGATACAGAAGATCCGTAAGTCTGAAATCACACACACGACAAAACAACATTACGTTCGATGCAATTTCAATTTTGTTATCATTATTTTCATCGTTATATTACAATCATGCAGTATTATTTGCTATACGCGTGTTTCAACTTTATTGATATATTTTTCCATTTCAACCTATTGTAGCGCACACGCTCGAACGATAAAAAAAAAAAGGTACCGTATTTGAGCCCTAATGCAACTAAATGGTCCTAAACAGGGGAACAGCAGGTGCAACAGACGGCGCAGCAACAGCACCCGGGGATCGAGATGGCGGCGGGGCTCGAGGCAACGTCGACCCTCAAGGAGTCTGTGATATACGAGAGGCGCTCGCAAATGACCCCGACGGACGGTAGCGTGAGGTCGGACGAGGGTTACCACTCGAACGGCTACCACGACGAGATCCTCACGCCGCCGGAGGAGAGCAGCGAGTCCGACTCGGAGAGCAACTACGTCCTCGATTTTTCCAAGAGCTCCAAGAGCACCGGCGCCGTGAGCACGACCACAAACACCGGTAGTAGCGGCAACGCGAGAAACGGCCTCCCGGTGCTGGCCAACAGCAACAACCACCACTACCACCACCACCTCGCGGTCGGGCTTATGAGGCAAGAGCACAGCGTCGCGCGCAACGATTACCGCAAGGTCAAGATCAAAATGAACCGGACGTACGGCAACTTTCAACAATCCAACCCAAACAGGGAGTGCAACAACAACAACAACAACAACAGCAGCAGCAGTCCCAAGGAGGAGGAGCAGCTGATGCGCGAGCAACGCTCGATAACACCGGAGCTCGTGTTGCCCGTGCAAAAGCTCCTGGCCAACAGTTCGGTCGTATTGATAACCCCGTCGACGACGACGACCGCGTCAACGGCCACGACGCCCAACAGCAGTACTCCCGAGGACGCGCTGCTCGACAGTAGCAACAACAGGCAGCCCCAGCCAAAGGGCACGTTCGGCTACGAGAGATGCAGCCCCAGTCCCATGTCGACGACCACGACCACGACCACGACCACGACGCTGCTGAGCGGCCAGCAGCCCCGGCCCTACATCGGCGCGAGCTCCTCCATCCTCGAGAACATACTCCTGCGCAGCAGCACCGACAGCAACAACAACACGCCCAGCAGTGCCGGTAACAACAACAACAACAACAACAACAATGTCATACACACGGGACACCTGGTAGTGGTTGCAACTGCGGCGGCGGCTCACGTCCCGGACTCGGTGACCCCCTCGCCCTCGAGTCCCACGGAAATGGCCTACTCGTACAAAAAGTCGCACCGCTACAGCAACATCCTGCCCTGCAGTCCCGACTCCTCGAGCTCGAACAACAACAACAACAGCAACAACAACAACAACAATACCAACAACGGCCACTTGCTGCCCGTGGTGGTACCAGTTGAGCTAGCGAGTAGCAGCACCGGGCACCACCAGCAGCTCCTGCACTCGAGCTCCTCGCCCAGCAGCAGCAACGGAGGTGGCCTCCTATTGGCCAGTAGTAGCAACGCGGCGACCACCTGCAGCAGTCCGGGTCTGATGCACTCGAGCCACCTGGTCGGCAGTAGTAGCACGGTCCTCGCCTCGACCACTTCGGCTACGGGGGTGCACGCGACCTCGAGCTCGGGGGTCTCGTCGGCGGCCTCGTCACCGGCCAGCCGGCGCAAGACCAAGAGCCCCTCGCCCTCGCCCACCCAGCACACGCAGCACCCAACCACTACGATACTTTACTCGGGCGAGACCGGGACCACCTCCGGGACGAGCATCTACCAGGCTGTGTCGTCGCTGTCCTCGCTCTCCTCGCCCGTCCATCAGGGCTCCTCGCCCTCCTACCCACCGTACGGCCAGCAACAACACCTCTACCACCAACATCACCATCAGCCATTGTCGTCGCCGTCGTCGTCGTCGTCGGTGGTCAACTGCTCGAGCTACCCGCTCTACTCGCCCGAGCGAACCGCCAGTAGTAGTAGTGGTGGTGGTGGTGGCAACGAGGACCGTCGGCGTGCCGAGGCGAGCAGTAGCAGCCAATTGCCTAGCTCGTCCACCTTATCGCAGATGGAGGGCAGCCAGGGCCTAATCAGCGGTACCCACAATCTCCACCTGGACAACCACCATCACAACAACCACCACCACCACCAGCTGCAGGAGAGCCACGGCCAACACCAGCAGCAGTTGCAGTCGTCGATCCACAGTCCGTCCTCGAGCAGTCCCTCGATGATCCGACGCTGCTACTCGCCCATGGCAGGCTCCATGTCCCCAGACGAGCGTTGCTCCCAGAGCGGGGCCGTCAGCCCCAACTCCCAAGCCGGTGGCTCAAGGGGCTATCGCTCCCTGCCCTATCCCCTCGAGAAGAAGGACGGCAAGATGCACTACAAGTGCAACGTATGCTGCAAGACCTTTGGCCAACTCTCGAATCTCAAGGTCCACCTTAGGACCCACTCGGGCGAGCGGCCCTTCAAGTGCAACGTCTGCACCAAGAGCTTCACCCAGCTCGCCCACCTCCAGAAGCACCACCTCGTCCACACGGGTCAGTACACTGGTTCTCTCTGTTGTCGTTGATTGCATGCACATCTCTTGGGGCTCGTTGCTCATTGTTGTTGTTGTTGTTGTTTTATTTTTTTTTTTATTATCACAGGTGAAAAGCCCCACCAGTGCGACATTTGCAAAAAGAGGTTCAGCTCGACGTCGAACCTGAAGACGCACCTCCGACTGCACTCGGGCCAAAAGCCGTACGCTTGCGACCTGTGCACGGCCAAGTTCACGCAATTCGTCCACTTGAAGTTGCACAAGAGGTTGCACACGAACGAGCGGCCCTACACGTGCCAGGTGTGCGACAAGAAGTACATAAGCGCGAGCGGGTTGCGCACCCACTGGAAAACCACCAGTTGTCGGCCCAACAACATCGAGGACGAGCTGGCGCTGGCCGGCGCGGTTGGCTCGCCCCCCAACTACTACGAGTACGCGCCCGACGTTAACGTGGGTGAGTCGGGGAAGCTTTGTGCATATATATAAATATTATACCTTCATTTCGACAATATGATGATACATGTATGGATGATAACGAGTGATTGCTAACTCGATCGATCGGTGGTTGCAGGTAGCATGCCCACCTCGTTGCACAACCTCGAAAACTCGGTCGGCCGGCCGAGCGTCATAGAGACTTCGCAGCCGCACATCATCGAGTGCACCTAAGGGGGAGGCGTGGACCCACCTACGAAGACTGCTTTTTAACGGCTACCTCGAGAGTTTGGTAGCACGTTGAGCCGCACAAGAGGATCGCGCGAAGCGTTGATCGCGCGATCGTGACATCGAAGTTTCCCCATTCCATTGGGCGGTTTCTTTGTCATTTTTTAAAACGATGCATTACACGAAAGACTACCTATGGAAGAGAAGTATGATACTAAGAGAGTGCGTCCGACGGGTTGAGGGCTAGAGTGGGGGTGCGGTGTTGGATGTTCTTTGTTTCTTTGGTCGTTGGAGCAAAGTGACGACACGACTGCAACTATGCGAGACCTGTACCTGTAAATACTAACATTAACTATTAGCTGATTTACGAAACGAGGGGGGGAGGAGGGAAAGCTCGATGATCTGATATTTAAACATTGTCGCAGTGCTTGTCTGTACCTATCGAGTGTACATTATGCACTTTGGAAAAGAGGTAAATTGAAGCGGAACGACATTGGTGCGCTTTAAAACGCTCGGGGCGTGTGTACATTTTGACAATTTTTTTTNACGCGGTAAGTATTCGGCCTTGCCTGCAATCAACGCACCACTAAACGAAACTATTGCATATGGGTACTCGTACGAGGTGAAAGAGTGAGTGGGTGGATTGTGTTACACGGACGAGCGAATGGTTTTCATTGTAAATATATACACGACATGTATGCGAGGGTCACTACTGAAAGTTATAGTCATCGATTGATCAAAAATTTAAAAAATAAAGATGATACCGGTGAAATTTTTTAACATTGTTTTTTATTGAATTATTCATAGTTTATTGATAAAAATTTATGTACAAAAGTAAAAAAAAAAAAAACAAAAAACAAATTATAAATAAATATATATATATATAAATCTGTACATTCGAATCGTAAATGTTTACTCGACCGTCGAATGGTCACTCCTCATATGCAAGGATTACTTTAAGTTTTCTGAATCGCAATGGAATCTCGAAAATTCGGATTATAGGACGTAGATTTAATAAGATATGTGATCGCTAAACGTATTCGAATTAGTTGTTACGAACTCAATTGACTCTTTGACAAAATTACCCTTTACGTAGCCAGTATTTAGACGATGAAAAAACTCCACACGAGCTTATGCTCAAGTAAATTGTAAGTAAATTTCCGTTAACTTCGATGCGTTTCAGAGCGACGATCGGAAAACTCCTCGATCATCCACTTTCTTGCTCAATGACGAGATTTACAAGTTTTCCGAGTCTCGCCCCAAAACGTCTTATCAAAAAAAAAAAAAAAAAAAAAAAAAAAAAGAAAAAAGGCTTCAAACGTAGCTCATCGACAGTTGATGGACGAAAGATGTAAAGTGGCAAGCGTGTGCGGATTGATTTTGTTGAAAACACACACATATATTTTTGTAAAACGAAAGAAACAGAAGATCCACGCAGAACTCGATATTGTACTTATTTTCCAGTCAACTAAGGCATGCACACACGAACGTAATGTATCCGGGGAAGACGTGCGTTTCGCGTACAATTACCCCTCGACTACGGCACGCGTTAAATACTCAAAGGATTTATATATCTACACGTGTAATTTTCTGAAAAGAGTCTGATTCGGGTATAAGTGAAAATAGTCGGTAATGATAATTTATTTATTTCGCGCGTCTATAACAGGACCACCGTTGAGTTTCATTCATACATAAATTTTCGACTAACTCTGTACACATATACAAACATACGCATTGCACGATCATTTCACTTTTTATTAGTAGATAATAACAATGAAAACAACAACAACAACAACAATAATAATAATAATAATAATAATATACGAAGAGACTTGAAGCATCGAGTTTACATACGTATCACGTACGGTTGTAATGATGTTGAAACAAACGAAATAACGAAAAACTCGAGTCTTGTCTACCAATCACAATAGTACTTAATTACCTATATACTGTATAAGCGAGTAAGGAAATTAATAAATATAATACACAAGTACTCAAAGGTAATGTTTTAAGACGTCAATACGATATAATACTTATTGAAACGAGTGACGAGTGGAGTGCAAGGTTCTTTATAAATATATATTATATACATCGATTGTACACACAAACTTTTTACACTGTAGTTATACATCGTAAGTTTAAGGAATATCGTTTTGGAAAGAAAGTATAAATATATAA